ACAGTGATGGGTCGTGATGGGTTGTCAGAAGACGCTTCAATGAAAACCAGTTTCCAAATAATAACTAAATAGGTACCTTGTCGGATTTCCTCTTCTCCTTGATTACGTGGATCATCTCTTTGAGCATTTGGGCGTGAGGTACTTTTTTTCCCTCAACAATGGCAAAGTCTGAATCCAAATCATGGCCTGGGCAAGAGACCCATCTAAGATAGAGGTGATGCATCAGTGAGTGCAACTGTATCCTCAACATCAGCCAGGGAACCTTCTTTGGAAGCTGCCTTAAATGGTCCAACTCCAGTTTGAAGGTTCATTGTCTAATTTCATTTGACAATGGCAGAATATGACATTGACTTGACACCTGAAACCAAGAGTCTGCAAGCCGGTGCAATGACGTTGCTGCATGCTGCTTCAGATGCCCACGATGGACTTTTTTGGCACCCCTTCCACCTCAGGTTGTCGAAGTAACCAGTTGAAAATTGTCATCAAACACTATCGTAGACACTTTGCATTGATGGATGCCTAGGAACCTTCTCCTCTTCCAAAGGTAGAGCAAACCCCGGCCAGCTTGCACACCCTACAAACCAAGCCATGCTCCCCAATGGTAGCCCACGGAAAGTCCTGCTGCCATGTTTGCCAGCGTGAGGCGATTCGTCTTAGCTGCTGGACAGTCTTGGATCGCAGCGCAGGCTTGACCATGGTGCTGATGGAAAGAGAGTTCAATCAACATCTAAGACCTTGCGCTTTTGTCAGTTGTTCATTTTCATGTTTGAGTGGATCCACTGCTTTGAACCATCTTGGGAAATACATGGAAATACTAAGCTTGAAAGCTAATATGGTTTCTTGGTGAAGAAGGTTGCCAATGAAGACCAAATGGCCTGCGGTGAGAACTGCACTCCACAACTGGCCTTCAAGTCAAGCCAATCAATCTGAAATCTTTTTTAAATTTACTCGTGACTACACATTCAATACTACACCAATAGCTCAATACTATCAATACACTGAATCAGCTCAATCAGAATGCCTTCCCTGGGTCCTGTCAAATCCGCCCTCCCCCAAATGGCCTCAGGCAATGCTGGCCGCTGCTGGTGGGCAGGCCTGCCAGGAAGCATTGATGGGTGTGAAGGGCTTGGTTCAATGGGGTGGCGTGGCTGAGAGGGCTCAAGGTTCGAGAGTGGGGATCACTGACTGTTGAGAAGTAACACCCTAAATCCTCAGAGCAGCTTGCACAGTTTTCCAGAGCTGAGCTCATCAATGCTCAATGCATATGAGCAGATGATTTTGTCGTCCACTGACCACCATTTTATATTTTTGTATGCGTTGAAATCTTGATTGTTTCTGGTCATCGTAGTTTCATTCAGCGGTCCATCAGTCAATGATGGTCAGTGTCATGGTTCATATCCCACCCTCACATTCCAAAGCGTGAGCTCGTTCTTCAATCCTTAAGCCATCAAATTCAAAGTGTCCAGAATCACCAAGTCTAAGAATTGAACAACCTAAGAAAGAATCAAAGTGTCCACAATCAAAGCCAGGAGTCACTCTAAGTCTTTGAACATTCCTGGCACGCCATGTTGGAAAGGATTCTCCTGCCAAGTCGGTGTTGAACATGTCATGAAATGTGAAGGCCAAAGCTTCACACCAAGCTGGTTTTGCACCAAGGATTTCAGCCGTCCCATAGACTCCTCTGATGCTTCCGCTGGAGCTGAAGATGCAGATGACCTCCGCCATGGATACTCCTGGAGTCCGAAGTCAATGGTCCGATGTCAAGAAAAACAGAATTGCAAAATTGGCAAAGCTGATGAAAGCTAGCAGGGGTGGATATCTATCGAGTTCCTCCAAGTCCTGGCTGTCAGGATCATGTCATCTGAAGCCATCAAGTCATGTGTCCATGATCTAAACACTGGTCCTCCGATCTGGCCCTCTTTGATGGCTGCTTCCGCTCCTGCTCCTCATCCTGTGCGCAGTGAGCCAAGTACGTGTATGTATTTTTGACCAGATGGCCTGAATGATCTTTCCAGGTCATGGCTGTGACTGTTTCAATCTGTCATGACAAAGTTGATGATCCCAAGGAGTCCTTTCCAGGTCGAAAAGAAGCATCAGGCGTCTTTGGCTGCTGCCCATCATCAGCCCCCACCGCCTCCTTTGGCTTGGGATCATCAGCCCCCACCGCCTCCATCATGTCCTTATTTAAAAACAGTCGCAAACAATGACAAGTTGTCATGACCACAGTTTAAAGATGACATATCTGATCCAAGGCTCAAGGATGCGCACTGCCAGCGCCG